AGAATTTGAAGGACAACTGCCTGGCCAACTGGAAGAAAGAAACACTTGTTCCCATTACCCAAAAAGAGATTATCCAATAGAATGTGGAAATTATCCAATAATATCATTAATATCACATGTAAGCAAAATATTCCTGAAGATCATCCTAAATAGCTAGAACACTACATTTACAAAGAACTAGCATTAAGGATATAATTGTTCTAGTATTCTTTGTTTGCAGCCACGGTCTGACATCGACAATGTCTATTTGTGCTTTATTGACTATGAAAAAGCATTTGACTGTGTGGATCATAATAAACTATGGCAAATATTGAGAAGAATGTGAATCTCAGAACACTTAATTGTGCTCATGTGAAACCTAGACCTAGACCAAGAAGCTGTTGTCTGAGAAGACCAGGTGTTCTGCATGGTTTAAATTCAGGAAAAGTGTATATCAGGGTTATATTCATATCCTTTCTCCTTATCTATTTAGATTGCATATTAAGAAAATCATTTGTGTAGCTGGACTTGAATATCTTCCTCTATGAATGGTATTTTCATGTATTTTGCCCATTCTGTGATTAGGCTGTCATCAACCTTTTTCCTTATGGAGGCCCTGTAGGAGTCTGTAAACTTTTGTTATGAGACCCTTGGTATAGATGGCATTGCCAAATTTAAACCTGTTCTTGAGATGGTTTTTAAATTCAGGTGAGGTAGAATCAGGGTCATATTTAATTTTAGTGGATTTGTTTTCATTCTCTTCAGGCCCACCTAGAACTTGCACATGAATAGTCAATGGTCTGTTCCACATATAGCCCCTATGCTAGTTTTGACTGCTGATACTGAACTCCTCCAATAATTCATTCAACAGATGGTAGTAAATTAGATTCCAGTGTACATCAGGTGAGGTACAGGGGTATAGCCACCTTTTGTAGGTTGTGTGCGTGTTTGTTTAATCTATTTGCATTGAGTAAGTTATTGATTGTACAGAATTCAGACATTCAGTCCCCACCCTCATTTCTGTTTACCAAGCCTGATATTTCCAACTACTAATTTTTCTTTTTTCAAACTTCTGCCTTTCAGTCATCAATTATTAAAGAATCTTGATTATATGTTCAATGAATTTCTTACTGTAAAAGTTAGTAAAAATCCTCAATTCCCTTATCTTTGGTTTTGGGGTTTTTTTGGGTACACATAAATATAAATATAAATGCAACTGTAATAGTTATATTACAGGGCTTCCTTGTATGTGTATGGACAGTATCCTGTCATTCACAGCATTGTACTTCAGGATGTATACCGAAATAGCCTTTTTTAATAAGACTGTAACATCATTCTTCCTGACTTTTTCATTTCCAGCAGAGTAGATCATATGATTATCTGATTCAAATTAGTGAATGTCAATCTGTTTCAGCTTGCTGATGCCTAGAATTTCAATATTTGTTTAATTTTTTTTACAACATTCAAGTTTTTGAAATTTATACTTCATACAATCCACTTAATGACTCCAATTATTAATGAAGATTTCCCACTGTTCTGTTCATTTTTTAATGTCTTTTACCTGAGGGCTCTTGCAGCAGTGTTAAGTTTTACAATGTTCCTCTATTGTTCATAGGACTTTTTGAAGGCTTATTGTTTCTGAAGTGCATGATCAATCTTTCTTTCTAGTCTGTATTAATCTGGAAGCTCTACTAGCATACAATAGCTGACAAGAACTATACATATGAAAGAAAATAATATGCAAGCATACATAAACATATCTAAGCTATAAAAAGCAACATGCAGAGCACACCCCTCCATACAAAAACTGTCAGGTAAATGTTGTGCCCGTAAGAGAAAACTCTGTACACATAAGAGGATAAACAAGCACACATAGGCATATGACAACAAGGAGCACTGTGTTAACCCAGTACAAGAAACTGACAAGTAAGTGTTATACCCCTAGAAGCAAATCCCAAGGACAAACAAAAGTACAGTTATCTTGAGATGGCTGGGATTGCCTTGGTGAGGCAAGGCACAGGCCTAGAAACGGTTTTGTGTGTTTGTGTGTGTATAAATAACATCACTCCTGATTTCATGTTCAGAAATCAAGTAAACTCATAGGAAGATAGTTGCTAAACACTCAGTCTTGAAATTTGACTTGAAAATTAATGCTTTGTCAACTTTAAAGGGCATAGATTTCTTGTTTTCTAATTTATATTTAAATTTAAATATGTTAATGGAAAAACCTCCAAAATTAATTATTTAACCCAAAACTTAGGTATTTGATTCATTTGATGAAAGAGGGGTGTGTGTGTGTGTGTGTGTATGTGTGTGTTTATGAGGAAAGCAGAGGTGTTAAGACAAATATAAAAAAATAGTCCTGTGGTCATTTGGACATATAAATAAAAAAAGAAGAAAAACCTGTTATAAAGCATTCTTGAATAGCATAACCATATTTATTTTATTTGTCTTAAAATTTTCTATTTTCCTCAATGTTAATAAAGCAAATTTAATGAAATATTTTTGAGGGAAAAATACAGATAAAATATAGAGTAATGTTTTAAATTTAAGATTGCTTTTTTTGTATTTATTATCTATGTTATTATGTTGGTTTGATGTTTAATCAGTGGGTTGCTGAATTTAATCTACAAGGAGTCCTTTATAAGACTGTAATTGTTGATCTCAGTGGTAAGAACAAATATATCCCTCCTAGTTAGGGCTGTACTAAACTCTACTTGCCTGGGACTAAGCAATATGCAAATATCATTACATTAAATTATCATTATAATTCTATTCCAGGGCATTAATTATTTCATAGAGGAGAAAATAGAAACTGGGAAATTGTTTTCCTCCCCCCATAATCTCTTGTAGTTCATGAAACAAAACTTTGGCTGAAATAGTATTTGAGTCCAAGCCTGATTCCTGCAGTCTTCCATGTATCTTATTCTGTAGAATACATTGCTTCCATTGCACTTATATTACATGATAAAAGTGTTTAATGTTGAAAGACAGAACTGCCTTTCTCTTCATTTAGAAAGTTCAAGGATTAAGTAAGTAGGCGTTGTTTCCTTGTAAAGAGCTGTATTAATAAGATACTGGCTGTAACAGTACCAATATTAGTTGGTGATAGAATTATACTGGTGATTTTTTTTTTCCTTTTTGTCAGAATGATGTAGGAGGACAACGCAGTCTGATAAACAAATGGACAACGTTTCTGAAGGCCAGATTGATTTGTTCAATTCCTGGCAGTGGGGCAGATACGCATTTTGATGAGCTTCGTAAGTTGCACGTTCTTTCATACCTAAGCAAAACCCTTATTATTAAGTTATTCAGCATTTATTTTGTTTTAGTTCAAAGGCTTACACAAAATCGACACAAAATACAGAAAGGAGATTTACTAATGTATGCGTAAAGAAGCTCTAGAGCTGGGCATGTGGAAATGAAAGCAGCTTTTTTATTTTGTAAGAGTCCTCAGTGCTAGTAAAGGAAATGAAATTGCAAGAAGAGACAGAAAACTATTAGCTCCAGGACAACAATTTCAAGCCTATCTGTTTTCTGTGCTTTCCTTTCCCTCCGGAAGGAACCTCCCTCTAAAAGGGGGAAACCTTATTCTCTGGATGCCCTCTACTGGACACCCTGTGCTTTGTTGGTCTGTGTGTCTGAGTTGCTAAAAAAAAAAAAAAAAGAGGAAAGAAAATATTGGAGCAAAGCTTCTTTCACTTCACCTAGTTGTAGATGAATTTTAATTTTATTGTATATCAATTTAGGTCCATGGCTTTTTATCTTCTAGAGTTTATTTTTGTGTGTGCCATGGAATATACAAACTGTTGTCCATAGCATTAGGTGGTTTTACTAGTATTATATTTATAGTAGTAAAGTATGCATTGAATATTTATAAATGATGTCTTATGTAATGTATAATAATTTTACACTCATGTCTTAAATCTTTATTTAAAGGGCATTATTTATACAGAGAATACTATCCATGTACTAATTACATGTATAACTTTCAGATGCTTCTAAAAGAAAATTGAGTTACTGTTAAAGTAACTATTTTTCAAGACAATAACATATCTATATTTGATTTTCTTGTCTATTATTAACAGTCATGGAAATTTCCAATGAATTATTTCATTTATTTATTCACATAACATATCTATGTGGTCAAGTGTTTCATTTCATACTAGTGGGCAAACCACTTTTTTGATGTTAATGTCTTAAGTTTAAAAAGTGACTCATAATCTAGTCACAAAATAGTGGCTCTCACTGTTATCTTACTTTTACAAACTCTTCACAAATAGAGTGTCAAAAATAATACTTTATTTAAAATGAAAGCTTTTTATAACATTGGAAAATAAGACTGAATATTTTTTTCCATTTGTAGAAGATATTTACTTACTTCCCACAAGAGATGAAAGAAATCCTGTAGTATATGGAGTTTTTACTACAACCAGGTATGCTCAGAAGAATATTTATAATATCTATAAATCTTTATGTGTATGTAAACCAGTATAGTTATATATTATTTTTGTTCATGATTTTTAGCTACTCTGTTGTATGCACGTTTGCATGTTTCTTTTACACTTGGCGTTTGACAGAAATATTTTCATATCATTCCTTTCAAATTCCCGTTCTTTTGACAGTGATATAGAATGTTCTATATTAACTATCATGATTTGTTTAGCCAGTACCTTGTACATGGGCGTTTTTATTTCTTCCAAGTCTTTGCTGTTACAAATAAGGTTGCAGTGATTGACCTTGTACCTGTGCTGTTTCTACACCAGCCAGTATATTTGTGGGATCCATATCAAGGCTAGAATTACTGGATCAAAGATAAAGAGCTAGATAAGCAGATAGATATAGATGCACACACACATGCCTATATTGCTGTTGTTATGTACCTTCGAGTTGGGCTGCCTGAAAGCTGACCCTCCAGTGGGTTTTCAAGAGGCAGTAAATCGCATGAGGAACTATCTCAGTTCATCATGTTTATAGCCTTTGTCTTTTTCACTGCCCTAATAATTTTCCAAGCATGATGTCCTTCTTCAGGGATTGGAAGTGGAATTTGTATTGTTGCCAAGAGAAGAGAAACCATTCAGAAATAAAGTTAGCTAGAACTGAAGATGACTTCTTTTCTGTCCTTTTACTTCTATCATCTTCATGCACAATACTGCCCTGTATATGTCATGGAGACACTGAGTTTTTTAATAGTTGAATAAAAAAAAATAAAAATATGATGCTTTTAAGGTATACATGTAAGCTGTGCATATACTCTCTATTTAGTTTTATAACTTAAACATAACTTTTGCTCTTGCACATATTGCACTGTGTGGGGGACATTCTTTCAGTGTTTTGAACAGCACTGCAGTTAATCTTTATCAATGCATATCTGTATTGGAGGAATTGAAAGTATTGATAACTGCAACTAGAACTATATTCCTTCTTTCTCTGGATAAATTTAAGATATTTGTCTGTAAGTTATGTGTGTTTCTTTTGTTGTCTGAGCCTCACTTTATTCACAATTTATTATGTAAAAATTAAAATGTACTATCAAATAAAAACTGTATCTTCAAGTAAAAGACTATTTAATGCTATTGATTGTGAATATTTACATATGAGAATAAAGAAGAAATACTGAGATACTCTCCTTTTGGACTTCATTTGTACCAATCATTTGTTTGATAATATGCAAAGCTGCTAGGAAACCAGGTGTCTGTTACACAAGTGTCTGAGTCCTACTTCTATTGACACCTTTCTAGTCACAGGACTGTCTTTGAAGTCATTGTGTATTCCCCACACAAGGCACAGACATGTGCCAGGAAAATGTAGCCCCAAGATAGTTTTCCTTTTCACCTACCACGTTTTGGCCCACCCAGGGTGTGAAGTTACAAGTCAGTTCTTTGTTCTTCCTGTGTTTTGTTTTATTTTCAGTGCGACCCTAAAAAGTCGAGGTAATGTCTGGTTACATGACACAGTCTTTGTCCATTAAATATGATTCATTATTACTTTAAAATACAATAAGATCATGAGACTGATGCAAGAGTCACTTTACTTTTACAACTAGCCTTTCCTCAACTGCTTGTTTATCATTATCTCTCAATACTTTCCTTGAAAGCCATCCTAAGAATATTAGTAGTTGAGAAACTCATGACAGAGAATCATGGCCTCTTTTGTATAATACAGAGGTAATATCTTTATTAGATCACAAAGGATCAATGAGAAGGATCTCTTTTATTAAGACCAGGAA